CACCACCACCACCACCACGACGGTGTGTTCTACTACCAGGCTGTCATGAGCGAGTATAATTCCAAACGCGAGGACTTCGTCTACGTAGGGTCCGGAATCGTCGAGGTGGCTTCGTGGTTGGACAAGCATCCGAGTCCCAGGAACGTTACCAGATTTGAGTCGCCCGAGTACCCCTACAGGGACGTCGGCGTTCATGCAGGGAATCTCGCTAAGAGTGGTCATCGCGTAATCTTTGAGATCCCTGAAGGTGGGCTCATTGAGATGTCCGAACACTACACACAGTTGACTTCCGTCAAAGGGTGTCACGTTACTAACTTTGACGGATGTTGTTTCGGTCATCGATTGGCAACCGTGCCCAACGTTTCCTACATACCGTCCAAGTGGAAGTTGTTGGCGTGGGGGGTCGATTCGAAGGCGAAGATATGCCATGGAAAACATGGTCACCACGAGGGGCACCGAAGCTGGACTTATCGATCAAATCATGGTCGAGTATTGTTGCTCACGCGACAGCGCACTCGGTAAGTTCACCACTGCAAGTTAGGGATGGAAAGCCATACGCGTGCATGAACACCTCAATGCTAACTCCAAAGAATGTGAGGAAATGGTGCTGGAGGAGTTGAAGAGTGTTCGCAGGGGAAGTCCTCATGCTCGGATGCTTGTGTGTGCAGCACTCCCGTGCACTGGAGGGTCTAGTTGGCAGTATGTCAACGAGGCGAACGGTCCCTATGAGAAGGTGCAGGAGAGGAAGAAAACGTTTCGGAGGTTGCTCAAATCTCTTAAACGCCTGCTGATCCGGCTTGCGGATTACAAGCCTTTTCTTGCTTTTGAATCACTTAACATGCGTGTACTGGAAATGGCCTGAAGTGCAGCCGCTTGTCAAGCAGTACAACTTGATCAAATTTCGTGTTGACGGATGTGCTGTGGGTGTTGTTGATCATGCAGGGGTGCCGCTGTTAAAATCGTGGTGCATTGCGTCTAGCGTGATCTGCGTGAACATTGTTGAAAGACACCTGTGTGATGGCAAGCATGAGCATGGAGTGGCTAGATGTAAAGCGCTGAGTGAAGCTGACAATTTCACTCCTGTGTTTGCAAGTGCCATCCATGAAGCTTGGAGAGAAAAGTGCATGTCCCGCAGACGGCCCAAACAAGCAAGACAGAATAGAAACATTCAGTATTCCATTGCGTTACCTTGTGTGGTTGCTGACCGCGTGCCCCCTAAAGAGGTGTTGCAAACCTCGTGTTTGACAAACGGTCAGCACGCTGGGGATAAACAACAGAGTAGTCGCTCTTGCCTGGAGGTGAGAGTGGACTACGGGTACGCAATGTCGGGCGGCTGGACTCCGTGGCAGGACTCCTTTGATGACGAGCTGCCAACACGGACATCCTCAACGGCACCGCCAAATCCGCCACCACGTGTTCCACGTGTGCAACCAACTGCTCACGCGTCGTTGCTTCCCGAAATTCTGACGTTTGATGAGTGCCGTGGCGGAGTCATTCCAGATGATCCACTCAAGGAAATCAGGTGGGTGAATGGCATGCTTGCTCGTCTACGTGGAGCCCAAGAGCCATTACCTCCCAAAATCAGACACGGGATTGTAGCGCAGAACTCGCAAATCATGAGGTGGGCCAAGGCCGGCGTGCCCGTGGTTTTCGTCGCAGCTTTGACAGCAGCGTGCAGCCCGCGCCATGACAAAAGCACTCGCCCTCGTGAGCTGTTCAGGGTGTTGGTGTGCGCGCTCAAGGATCCGGTTTGGTATCAGAGCTACAAGGACCTGGTCGCCTGCGTCAAAAGGGCATTGTCATGCCTGGCCCGAGTTCAGCATGAACTTCAGCATACTCAACGAACATCCTCTTCGACCTTGTGCACCTCGAGGTGATAAAAAAAATGTCAATCTGTTCGTTGACACGTTGGAGCAGGACGCGCGAGACCGCAAGGTTGATCTTGAAGCTGCCGCGTATGATGTTGTGAGCGACTCGGACTCGGACTGCCTGAATCCCGTACTCGTTTGTCGACCTATTCCTCCTCCAACTGGGTTCATTCATTCCACGAGGTACCAAGCATGGTACGAAGCACAGCAAGTTTATCATGCATGAGAGCATACCCTCGGCTATGAAGCTTGGGTGGAACGGTCTCGTATTGCTACGCAATGCGGTTGAGAATTTCTGCAGCTACGGCCTGCGGGCGCGCAGTCGGGACAACCCCGATGACCAGATGACCGTCATTGACCTCGTCGAGATAGTCCAACGGCATGCAGACAGCTTGGACGCTCCCTTGGCTTACGCTCTCAATTGCTTTCAGGTCTTGAACGTATGCGCAAGGACGCTGAGGTTGTATGTCATCGACTATACCTATACGTGGCCTGAACAGGAGGACCTCAAAGAAGGTACCATCGGGGAGATCTCGGATCTATACTCTCGAGACCGCCGCTCGCCGGCGCTGGTTTGCCCAGCACGATCGCAGTGGCTAATCGCGAGCGGTTTGTTGGCTGATTACTCCTGGATGAACAAAGCATTTCAGCTTTGGAACCAATCGATCGACGACATGAAGCAAGCCATCGAACAAGGAGAACGGCCTGGCCATGTGTACTTACTACCTGGCGATACCAACTTCCCTCGTCCCATCGCTGCTCATCCGCCGTGGGCTCGCTGCTCAAGAGCGGGCGAACCTGGGAACACTGTGCCTTAAGGACCGGCGCATCCTCGAGCCCCGCCGGCCACCAGGGCAACGCCCACCGTTCCTCCTCAGGATTTCACTGAGCAGGGCCCAAAGAGGACGCGGACTACATCGGCGCTGTCTACCAGGCCTACCGCATCGTCTGAAGCAGCTACATCCAGCAAACGACCCAGACCAACGGTCGGGTCGACAACTGCTACTCCAACAACCGCGAACCTGAGGCACCACCGCCTGAAGGGGTTGGTCAATGGCGCCTGAAGTTGAGAACACCGTCCTCGTAACACATCACTTCAAGGTTCACTCTGGCAAGGTGTAGGGGACAAAGCTGTCAAAACACCGAGATGGAGGTGAGTTTGTGAGAGCCGTCGACGAGACGCCAAGACCCGGCCGGGCAAAACCTACGCGCAGGTGTATCTTCGGCGAGTTGTGACTATGCTTGCACGATCGGGCGGAGTGACCGCAAGGGTCGAGGCTGGATTCCACCTCCCAACTTACATCCTAGAGGGCGACGCTGAATGGCTTCGGCTTTACCACCAGATCTACCATCTCATGCATCTTGGATGTACACAGTGTCTTCCTGAGCCTGCTGTACTCACAGCAATCGTGGTTGATGACTGCGGTCCCAGATGGATACGTCTGAACTTTCCCGAGCGGGATGTTGTTGAGCTTCGTATGGCGGAAGTGGATCTGCGGAATTCTCTTCACAGCGCAGGGCGTCAGGACGGTACCTTTTGGAAGGCCGACAGCACTATGCTCGTCATGGATTACAACCTAACCTCCGAAGCCGACAATTCCCCCGCGCGGTTGAGCCCTGCGCTTGCTATGCGCAACCGCGGATGGACAGCTCTGGAAGTGTTCACCCCTCCGGAGAATCGGCCACAAGAGAACATTACCAATTTTGCGACGGCGGTCAAGAGAGCATGCGAAAGGTTGAAGAGCATGCCGGTGGACAACATCTCAAGGACAACGGTGCATGTTCATCGTTCCCTCCATGAATCTCTCTGACACCGCTGCTTCAGGAGGATTATAACGGGTCGATCCTGCGTGGCGTGGATGCCATGTGGCGAGGAGGCAATGTGCCCTGTCGGACAAGTGGTGGCTACATGTGCGACATGAACCCAATGCATTATCTTGGGGGTGTCCCAAGTTAGACTGCACGAGGGCTTATGATCCGGAAGAGAGAAGAACGTGCTGGCGGGATGCGTGGTGCGAGCATGGTAGTGAACCTTGGAATGTAATGGCATGTTAAGTTTGGCAGGCTAGGGTGCATGCAGCTCATCCCAAGGTTTTTGCTGCTGCTGCTGCTGCTGCTGCTGCTGCTGCTGTTTTGGGCCAAGCATTGCTGTGAGCCAAGTTTGCAGCAGCGGAATTTTCAACCCATCCCGCACAGCCTTGCACATAACCCGGCCTGCTGTAGAGTTCCCTGGTTATGCAAGGCTGTGCGGAGTTGCAGCGTCGCCAGGTTGTTTGCGTCCCCTGTTTCGCTGGAGTGACTGGTGCTTCAGGAGGATTAGGATCGGGTGGATCCTGCATTGCATGGATGCCATGTGGCGTGGCAGCAATGTAGCTTGTGGGACAGGCGGCGGCTACCCGTGCGACATGAACTCAATGCATTATCATGGGGTCCCAGGTTGGACTGCTCGCGAGCTCATGGTCCGGAAAGGCGAAAAATCTGCTGAGCGGAATGCCAGCGTAGTAGCGACATGCAATGAACTTTGGAATGTTTATTCCTCCTTCTCCCTCCTCATCCTCCTCCTCCTTCGTCCCTCAGTATCATCACTGCCATTCCCATTTTCTGTCAGGTATGTTCAATCCATCTTCGCATCTTTTATCAATGTCTTCATGCATGCTACGGTACCAAGAGTGGATGCCTCGCTCCCGTGTTGTTTGGGTGGGGCTGGGTGTCCACTCCACACGTGAGCTGGTTTTGGTTCATCCGGTAAAGCATATGAAGATGCACCTGCCAGCTTTTGTTGGCGTTGGGTTGCCCTTGGCTTGCATCAGGCGGCGCACAAACCGAAAGCTCCGGCCGTTACCATTACGTTGGAGAGTACGCGGGCGCCTACGCCCAGGCTGAACTGAAAAGCGATTTGTTTGAGTTCTTCGCTTTCTGTAGTGTGAGGCCTCCTCTGTCCAATGGGTTGGCGAGGGCCGCTTAGTTGCACACGTCAGGTTGGTTGAGTGCCCAGATTGTACATGTGAAAAGGCAACGGCAGTCTGGAGAAAGTCGTCAAGGCCGAGTATACTGGCTGGAGGCCAGCAGGGGGCAGAGAAACCTTTAAATGAATTCGTTGATGCTTTGGCAGGTGCAAGGCCTGCGCAATGGCACTTTGCATTGGGCTAATGCCTCTTCTCCTGGCATTGGGTTGCTTGGCAGGTCTTTTAGTGCGAGACCGGCGTGAGGTTCCCAAACCTTGGCAACTAGCAGCCGCAGCGCCTTCAGTGAATCAACTTGGCAGCAGAACACAAAACGGCATTTCAAGTCCAAAGCTTCCAAGAGAGCATCAGTTGTCATAGCCCGGTGATCCCAAACATAAGTAAGCTTCATCTGAAGGTGTTTTTAGTTGTTCCTCTGTTTTGTGTGAAGTAAATCCCTTGGGGTTCACAGTGGCGGCCCGCTCGTGGAACTCTTCAGCGTAGGCTTGATCTCAGGCTGGTGGTTGCGGTCGCTGCTGTCTGCACATTCAGTTGGGCAGGATGAGTTCCCTGCACCCGCACCTGCATTCGACTGCTACACTGGGTACCATGACTGGGCCAATCTCTGGGGCGAGATGCGCCAGAAATATTGCTGCGACCAGTTTGGTAGGGCATGCCCCCTCCACGATGTCCCGCCCAAGGTGATTTACCATCACGTGCCAGTGTACATGCAGCCCCACACCAGCGTCGTCCCGGTGCCCGTCCCAGCACCCGCCCACACGCACGTGGTCTACCAGACCCACTACGTGCAACCACATGTGCACCACTTCAAGTACAACTGCCGTGCCGGGTTTTCGAACTGGTACTTCGGCTGGTCGCACCACAAGAAGGCCTGGTGCTGTAGCCACGCAGGTCGCGGCTGCCCTGGGACGTGGCACGGCAGCTATCACCTGCACATGCACATCGAGCACGGCGTGGGGCATGCTCACGGGCGCATCTACGACTGCGACGCCGGCTTCTCCAACTGGATGCAGGGCTGGTCCGACTCCAAGAAGGACTGGTGCTGCAGCCATGAGCACAGGGGCTGTGTCAAGTACCACTGCACTGGCCATG